TGTGGTATAGGTTGGCAAATTTTAGCTTGACACAATAGCATGAATTGAACACGACATGAAATTTTCATGTTCGTGTCGTCCAAATTCGACACACAAAATCGTGTCGTGTTCGTATTCGTATCTTGTTAACCTACAATTGACCCATTTAAATTAAGCAATTATATAATTATATATTTACCTCTACTTATCTCACTTTTATTTACTAATTTAAGGTTACTTATATAATTTTCACTAAAAGGGTAAAAATAAAAGGTTATTTGTGCCGTGTTCCTGCATAGTAAATGAGTCATACTAATGTTGAGGGTTTTGACTTAAATCAACATTTATGTCGTGTTGAGATTAAGAGTATTCATGTTTGTGTGGACCCTATGGATAGAGATGTCCAATATGATGATTGGTGAGTTTATATAACATTTGTTTGCCCTATCTCAGATATCTATCAGGGAGATACCTTAAAAACTAACAGATTATTGTGTACAATAATGGAAAAGCATAGCTAAGACGTGCAGTGTGTGCATAGTGCCAGCTAATAAAGAGAGTAACTGGTGCGGTGTGTGCACAGTGCCAGCTAATAGAGAGAGTAACTGTATGTACGTATATGCTTTACCTCTTATTTATAGAGTTTACATGTGAGTAGAGAAATTTTGAAGCATTGGTGAATTTTGAGGTCTAATATCTTTTAGAAACATCTCCTCTATTTTCCTCTTTTCGGAATATGGATCTTTATATTCCATAACAGACCCAAACACGATTCCAACAACCTGACCTGAATGGCTACCCCTACTATGATAGACAATTTTGGGAATTTGAACTCATTCTCGAAGTATGAGAAAAATATAGGAACTTTTAGAGAAATAAATGACATAGGGGAGAGAGTGAATTATGCAATGGTGAAGTGAGATGAGAGTGCAAAGGCAACATGGGGAAGAAGGTTATGCACAAGGAAGAATGGACACCTAAACAAATAGGGAGTGTCGTGTCCGACACGCGTCGACACACTCCGACACGGTTCCAGAACGCGGTCAACTTTTCCGACACGTTGACCATTTCGACACGCGAATTTGACCGTGTCCGACAAGACTAATGTTTTTATTTTTTTGGGGTTAAACATTGCACACAATTCCTTGACTGCTGTGGCATTTTTTCCCTTTCATCCAAGACTAATGTTTTTAAAATGTTTTGGTTGTATCTTTCCAGACATAGTTAAACATTCATATTTCGTAATAGGCCTATTTAAAACGAATATTAACTACAATTTTCCAAAAAAAAAAACGAACACTACCAATAAATAAGACTTAAGATTATTCTTTTAGAAATCCATAAATTTAATTATTTGAGTTAGACTGAAATGGCTTTTGGCCATTGGTCAGTGAGACATGGAAGAAAATTGGTCGTCTACTCTATATTTGTTGGATGCACACTTTTATATAAATTTTGCATTTGTAAATTTAAAAGAACAATTTATTATATTTTTTAGGACCACTTAAATTTAAATGGTCAATTTATTATATTATTCTGTTATTAAAGAATGAAAAAATCTAAAAAAAAAGAACAACCCCCTCCCTTCTTTCTTAAAGTAATTTACAATTATTGTAATTGTAAGACATTTGTTGAATAATTGAAACTTGAAAGGCAGTTTGTCCAATTGGTTTGCTAATAGAATGATTATACTGCTATTTAAATTTAATTGTTCTATATTTGCACAAGTCATTATTTTGTTCATAGTGTTTTATTTTGTTTTTTTAGAATGGATTCAAGTGTTGAAAGTAGTGGAGATGATGAATTTCTAAGGAAGTCATCATGGAAATATGTTACCAAAGTACGCACCAGAACAGAAGCAGGAGGAAATATATCTTGGAAATGTAATTTTTCTGAAAAGGATTTTAAAAGTTCGTATACTAGAATAAGGGCTCATTTGGTAAAAATAGGAGGTAGAGGAATTGCAAAATGTTTACATGTGCAGACAAAAGACTTGCTAGAGATGGAGAAATTAGAAAAAGAAACTCATGAGAGATTGAAGAATAGTGCACCTAAAAATGTGCCTTTACCCCCTTCTATTTTTTCCATAGAATCAAACTCGAAAAGAAGAAGAAGTGGAAGTGAGGGTGGAAGTTCATCTAGAAATCCTATTGAGAGGGCATGCAATGTTGGGGCGCGGGAAGAATTAAACCACTTGATTGCTAGAATGTTTTATTCAGCAGGATTGCCATTCACTTTAGCAAGGAACCCATACTTTCAAGCAGCCTTCACTTTTGTTGCGGATAATAATATTGGAAGTTATTTGCCACCAGGATATAACTCCTTGCGAACCACTCTTTTGTAGAAAAAGAAGGAAAATATTGATAGGTTGTGTGCACCTATTCGAGCAGGGTGGAATGAGAAGGGTGTTAGTATTGTGAGTGATGGATGAAGTGATTCACAAAGGAGGCCACTTATTAATTTCATGGCAGTATCTGATGGTGAAGCTATGTTTTTGAAATCAGTTGATTGTTCAGGGGGGACTACGGATAGGCATTTCATTTTCAGGTTGTTAAAAGAAGTAATTCAAGAAGTTGGGCAAGAAAAAGTGGTTAAAGTAATCACGGATAATGCTGCAAATTATAAGGGAGCAGGGCATCTTATTGAGCAAGAATTTCCTTTTATTACTTGGACACCATGTGTTGTTCACACACTGAATTTAGTTGTGAAAAATATTTGTGTTGCAAAAAATATGGAGAATAATCAAATAACATATGAGGAATGTAGTTGGATTTATGATATTGTTGGAGATGTTTCTGCAATAAAGCACTTAATAATAAATCATTCTATGAGACTGTCAATGTTTACTGAGTTTGTGGGATTGAAGTTGCTTTCTATAGCTGAAACCCGCTTTGCATCCATGGTTGTGATGCTAAAAAGGTTCAAATTGATAAAATGTGGTCACCAAAATATGGTAATCGGTGAAAAATGGAGTTTGTATAAAGAAGATAATATAGGGCGAGCGAGAATGGTTAAAGATAAGATATCGGATTATCTTTGGTGGGATTCAATTGATTATATACTTGCTTTCAGTGCTCCCATTTATAATATGATCAGAATTTGTGACACTGATAAACCTTGTCTTCATTTGACTTATGATATGTAGGATGAGATGATTGAGAAAGTGAAGAAAGCTATATACTTTCATGAATTGAAGAGGATGGATGAGGCCTCAACTTTTTATGAGGTGGTGCATGGCATTCTCGTGGATCGTTGGACAAAAAATTCAACTCCACTTCATTGTTTGGCACATGCTTTGAATCCCAAGTAAGTTTTTAATTATGAATGGATTTAATACTTCTCTTATTTGATATAATCTGTTAATCATTTTTATTTTTTTTCTTTCATATACTATAGTGAACAATGGCTTAATGAAGATTCTAGTCGAGTTCCTCCACCACAGATCTAGAGATTAATCAAGAAAGACAAAAATGCTTAAAGAGATACTTTCCTGACTTGGAGGACCGAAATAAAATAAATTTGGAGTATGTGGACTTTGCTAGTATGAGTGGGGGTTTTAGAGATTATGATGCCATGCAAAATCGATATTCTATGGAGCCCAGAGCTTGGTGGGTGCTTCATGGTGCTTGTGCACCTATGCTTCAAAATATAGCATTGCGACTTATTGCACAATCTTCTTCTTCATCTTGTGCAGAACGCAATTGGAATACTTATTCTTTTGTGCATTCTGTAAGAAGGAATAAGATGACTCCAAAATGTGCTGAAGACTTGATTTATATACATAGCAACCTTCAGCTCTTATCAAGAAAGACGTCACAATATACACAAAGGGAGAATAGAATGTGGGACATTGCTGGAGATACATTTGAAGACATTGCAATTCTTGAAGTTACTAGTCTTTCACTTGATGAGCCAGAGATAGAGTCAAATGTTATTCTAGATGAAAATGCTCCATGAAGGTAATTGGTAATTTTCATATTTTATGTTTTTCTATAGATATGCTATTATTTTAGCTTTATATTAATATAATGATATTATGGAAATGATTTATTTTTTTGGTTAAATTGATGGATATTATTAGTTTACTTTTATTTTTTGTTAAATTATTGAATATTAAATGAAATATACACTATATAAATTAAAAATATTATTTAATATTAAAACGTATCCCAAAATATCAAAATCCATATTTTTTTAGTATTATCATATTGTGTCACGTGTCGAGTCGATGCTATATAAGTTATACAGGGAAAAATAAAGAACTTAAATGAAATGGATGGCTAGCATCAAGTACAACATAACAATAAATAATTTCATAATTATTTTTGTCTCCAAAATAAAAATAAAAGATTTCATAATTAATAGAATTTGACAACTTTTTTACAATATAACGATCAAAAGCTACAATGATTAAATATTAATTAAAACCATCAATTATTCTATCCTAAATATCCAATCATGAATGAAAGTCATTTAACCAAAACAGAATATCCATGTTTTTCAACATATTCCACTTAACTTTTTTCTTTTTACTAATTTAAACAACAGACAATATATACTTATCACTAAAAAAGTTTACCACATTTATAACTAATTTAATCACCGTTGATTTCTGTCAATCCAACGGTTATAATTTATTGAGAATTAATAATTAATTAATTAATATGATCAAATAATTTTTAATAAATTATAATTGTTAGATTCACGAAAATCAATGATAATTAGATTGATCGTAAAAGTTATAAATTTTTTTTTTATGATAAGTATATATTTCTTGTTTAAACGAGTTCCCATGTAATTTCTAAAAATAACAACAGCATTTAGAGCAGAAATAACGCTTCCATCCATATTTAATTTTCAAGACCATTCCGTTCCCCCATTTTCCACTGCTTTACCGTACCGGTTTAAACATCCCGATCCCAACCCGGTTGAACCACCGGCTTTCCCGTACAAAAGACATTTCTTTCTCCATTTCATTAAAACAAAGCAAAGCAAGCAACACCTCCACAACTCTCGCTCACTCGTCCTCCCTCAGATCCCAACTTACTACACACATTACCAAAATACCAAACCTCAATTTTCCCCCACGAAGCAAAACTGAAACGAAAAGAAACCACCACTCATCAATCACATTACAAAAACACCACACTTTCCCTCCCACTCACCGATCTCCTTCACTTAAAAAAAACTCCAAATTGTAATGCCCCTCACTAATACTTCCTGAGCCATGGATTCCCCACCTTCCCAACAACAGTGGGGAAGGTCACCCACCCTCTCCCACCTCCACCACAACCGAACCTCCTCATCTTCCTCCTCCTCCCCTTCCCCTCTCTCCAAATCCAATTCCGACACCATCCAAAGCCTCTCTTCCATCCTCAACAACCCTCACTCCTCCGACGCCAACGCTTCCTGGGTTGGCTGGTGGTCCTCCTCCACCGCCGTCTCCCCTCCCGAATTCGCTCCCATCGCCTCCTCCAAAGCCGCCTCTGATATCACCCGATCCGACTTCCATGCCTACCTATCCCCCATCGCTGAGCCCTACCACCGCTTCGAGGACATTAGGAACCACGCCAGCAAGGAGATCGATGACGTCGACGGCGGCATCGGCGGCCAGGGGGAAGCACTCGTCGCGTGCCTCCGCGAGGTCCCTGCGCTTTATTTCAAAGAGGATTTCCGGCTGGAGGATGGTGCTACGTTCCGTGCCGCGTGTCCCTTCTCTAACTTCTCCGAGAACCTCATGCTGCAGGAGAAGCTCTCGCAGTACCTCGATATTGTGGAGCTTCACCTGGTGAAGGAGATCTCGCTCCGCTCCACATCGTTCTTCGAGGCGCAGGTGCAGTTGCAGGACCTCAACGCCAAGATCGTGGAGGGTTGTTCCCGGATTCGCCTGCTGAAGGAGACTATTCGGCTCCTCGATTCCGATTTGGTCGACTCCGCTAGGCAGATTCAGGAGCTCAATGGCACCAGGACCAACCTCTTGGCGCTTCTGCAGAAATTGAGGCTTATATTATACGTCAATCAAGCGGTGTCTGCTCTTAAATTGGTACTTTTTGATTCTGAAAGTTCTCTAGTTTTTGCTGTGATATATATATATATATATTTTTTGAAGATACGCTTGTTAGAGTGGAGCGCCTTGAGTGTTTTGGTCTTTCATGTTTCCTTAATTATTTGGATCGTCTTTACAAGTTGCTATTGTTGATGACTTGAAATCCCTTTAAGTTGATATATTTTGCTGTGATACAGCTTGTTGCATCTGCAGATTGTGCTGGAGCACTGGATGTGACTGACGATTTGCAACATTTGCTGGTAACCGTTAATCTTTATATAAAATCTCATGAACGTCATTCCTAATAACTGTTTTATTTATCCTGGCTTTGTTTCCTTTCTTTTTCACTTGATGAGTATTATATCTGTATGACCAATCATGACTAAGATCCTTAGAGCTGGCTTGTTATGAATTTTATTTTAGTCTTTGTAATAACTAATGCCTTAGATTTTTATTATGTTCTAATTTTTATCTAAGTTGAAAGAATCCTGGGAACAATGTAGTTGATATCCTCTACTTTGATTATATTTCCTCAAAAATTATTTTATGAGCATATTCTACTAGCCATTGGTTTGAAATGATTCTGTACATGTTAATTGGATTATGGAGGATAACTTATCCCTTGTCATACACTTTGAATGAAGCATTGAGATTAAAAGAAGTCTCTGATGATTTGATCTGCATAAATCACTCTATATTCATATTTTGATATGCTAAAGTACCAATTTATGTTGCTTTTCTTTGCTTAAGCACTAAACATGTTTAGATGCTACCATACCCAAATGTTGATGGTAATGTCTTAATCAAAATGCTGGGTTCTTGTGCTTATAAATAATGGTCTTGGGGTTATATATTGGTTTTCTTAATTTTTGTGTGTGTGTGTGAATAATAATTGTATTAAACTTAAAGTGGATGAGACTAGAGATTAATGCGTAGCTGATATAAACCACTCTGTCGAACTTAGCTAGTTTCCTTTGAAGTCTGTTTATGACATAGCATGATTGATTGTTGTTCTATGATTTACCATCAATGGGATTCCTGAAAGAGGAAGAGAAAATTTTATACTAATTTCTGTCTTATTTATTTCCTATAATTGTTAGGATGGAGATGAGCTCACTGGTCTGCATTGCTTTCGTCATCTTAGAGATCATGTAATAGGCTTTATAGAATCCATAAACAGGTACACCTTTATTGATGTCCTGATCTATCAAAGTGCTGTACGCCACTGTTTAATTTCTTTTAGATCATTTATTCAATTAACCTGCATCTGAAAATTCATTTGAATTGCTTTCTAGTTCTTTTCTTGGGTTTTGAGAACCAAGTAATAGTTGGAAGGGAATAGGGTTGAACTATAATGTTTAAGTTTGGATATCTCCTTTTGTTTTTTAATTCTTAGATGATGGAAAGGCAATATGCACTCTGCTAAAAGTTTGGAACTTTGGATGGGTTGAAACAATGTTTAGGGCTTGCACTTGCCCTATGTGTCATCTTTTTTTACGGTAGAAACAGAAATTTTTTAGGAAAGGGAAGTAGGGGAGTACAACTGTTTAAAATTAAGTTATCACCCGAAAATAAACTTAAAAAAAAAAAAACCAGCAGAGAGAGACAAATCAACTTAACAAGGGTTGCCAATATCTATTTGTATTTATCAAATGTGCCGCTCGGAGACAGTCCTTAACTAGGCACTGCATGGAAGCCAAAAGTGTTACTCTATCCTGTTGAAGTTGCAAAAGTAGTGAATTTTAATTTATAACGTTTTGAAAGCTTAGTCCTTACATTTAATTTGTACATATGTTCTTGCTGAGGTTTTGGGCTCTAGGTTTTGAAGAGTAGGTGCCTGAAGGCTGCCCAAACATGAGTTGAACACTGGTCTGGTTCAGTTAGCTGCTGATTGGTTGGGTTGGTTTACCCAAGTAAAGCACTTATTGGTTTGTTTGTATTGGTTAGAAAGAAGAGATATAGTGGCATAAAGAAATGTATAATCAAAATATGGATCTGGATAAAATTCTTTGAATAAATAAGAAAAAGTAGTTTATATGATACAGCAAGGAAAATGGAACTTTGAAAGTTAGAGAAAGATTGAAGTCAGGTTATGATGAACAAATTCTACATTAGTAATAAACAAAAAAATAATGCAAATAGCTTGAACAAATCCAACAAAACTGAAAAAAAGAGAGCCCATACCAAGCATGAGCTGGATTGAATTTGATGAAATCCATTAAAAGTCACTGCAAAACCACCTTTTGGCTGTTTCATTCTACAGTTGGAACCCTTGATTTGGGTCTTTACTCTCTAGTGTGAGCCTTTATACGATTGGTTAAATATAAAAGACAAAGCTCTACTAAGAAGGTGATACGAATCTTGGGAGAATCTCACCCCAAAAGCTAGCTCGTAAGGTAGGAGAGCCCAAAGTTCATATAAATCTCACACCAAACCCTTATGTTTCCGATGTGGACCCAAGTCCCATACCTTGTAATTGGATCATAACCTCCGAAGCACGGACACGGGTTTTGGGGGGGAAAATGCGTGTCGGACACCGACACGTTCCGACACGTGGTTGATTTTTTGGGACACGTTGACTTGGGGGACACGCGATTTTGACCGAATCCGACACGCGGTCAACGTATTTGGACACGTTTTGATATTTTTTATAAAAAAAAATAAAATTACAATTAAAAAAAAAGTAAAAATATTTAATAAAAATTAAAAAGTTTAGAAACAGAGAACCCTATCTTGTTTTTTTTCTGTCTTCACGCTGGAGCTACTCCTCTTCTACGTCGTCGGCCGTCTCATCTTTGCTTGCTTGTTGTCTCTTCTCCGATCCGAATCACGATCTTGATTTCAACTGCTTCTTCGTTGTCTTGATTTCATAGTTTGCTCCATTTCATGCGTGGTTTCTTTGTTTGCTCAAATTTGTGTTTTAGAATTTGGGGATCTGGGGTTGCTTATACATATTATGGTTTAGTTATAAAATTATTAACTTTTAGAAGCTTAAATCTAGCTCACTTGGCTTTTGACCAGAAACTTAAGTTTAATTTATTATTGATGTTCTGGATTCAGAGTATCTATGTTCCTGGGTTTTGATATGGTTTTTTTGTGAACTTATGTTTTAAAAATTAGGCTCATATCCCTTTTCTGTCTTGTGTATGATAGTAAATTGCAATGCATATCACCTTGAAGTCTAAAATGCAATCATCATAGTTCCTACAATGCTTTGTTGCATCTGAATGAAGCTACCTGAGTTTTTGTTTTTATTTTTTATAACTTGTGTCGGTGCCTAATCAAAATTGATAGGTCTTAATCAAGAAAGCAATTCACTTGTAACTCTTCTGAAGCAACCCCTGTTTTTGTTTTCCTTCTTGTATTGCTATTTTCTTATTGCTGTTTATATAATTCTTTTTTCTCGAAGAAATTACATAAGGATTTGTAATTCTTTTTCATGTATATATGATAAGGCTGTGTTGGCTGAAAAACATGTAGAGTCGATTGTATGAGAGTTGGAATGATTTGCAGCAACCCCAAATTGACTACTATTGTGTTATGTGTTATGTCTAGATCAAACAATAACTCTGATATACTTATTGCATTATTTTTATTTTTATTTGACACATTTAACTTGTGAGTGGTCTACACTCTACACTCTTGGGATGTTCTATTATTTTTGCTTAATATTTATGCTATGAAATTTGAATATTTAATTAGTTATATGACTTATTATGAGTTGCTATATGTATTAAATGTAAATTATATTATATATATTAAAAAATTTATTTAATATCAAAACGTGTCCCAACGTGTCCAAATATGACATTTTTTAGAATTAACGTGTCGACGTGTCGTGTCGTGTCCGTGTCCGTGCATCATTGATCATAACATCCCATCACGCTCCACAACCTCAACGCCCACGCGGCCTAGCTTTGTGCTAGTCTTTTACTAGCCCTAGGCGAACATTGCAATGCCATCGTCACTAGTCACGTCTCTTGATTGCAATTGAGAGAATAGTGGAACTGTGGAAGGCTCTGATACCAATTGATACAAATATTGGGAGAACCTCACCCTAAAAGCTAGCTCGTAAGGTAGGAGAGCCCAAAGTCCATATAAATCCCACACCAAACCCTTATGTTTTTGATGTGGGACTCAAGTCCCTTACCTTGCAATTGGATCATAACAGAAGAAAACATGATCTTAAAGAATAGGGGAAAAGTGTAAAAAATGAAGGAGTGATGACACTTTTTTGGTTAGATTCTGAAATTGAGAGAACAGACTGCTGGAAGAGAGTGGTAAAATTAAAAAGTGGGTGAGAAGCATTGTGAAGCTTGAGAGATGAAAGAGGAAAGGGACATCAGAAGAAGGTTTTGAGCATTGGGACTTGGTGATAAATAAACATTGGGGGTAATTGTGGGATTTAAATATGTAAAAATTGTGGGGGTAGTAAGTTTAGAATCCTCTATTAATAATTTATTGAACCAGATAAATGTAAAAGAATACGTTGTGTATTGATCTGTGTCAAGGAGTTACAATATATAGAGACCCTAATGGGCTTAAGTGTAAGGCCCAAACCTAATCCAAACCTAATCCTAATACAGTCAGAATACAGTCAGACTATTTACGGATAAGACAGAATCCAATCATATCTAATCAAATCTAATCATATCATATCTAATATTCTAACACTCCCCCTCAAGCTGGTGCGTATATATTATGAGCACCAAGCTTGTTACAAATGTATTCAACCCGAGGACCTCTAAGAGCTTTAGTGAAAACATCTGCTAGTTGATTAGACGAGTTGACAAAAGCTGTCTTGATTTCTCCTGACTGAATCTTTTCCCGAATGAAGTGACGATCAATCTCTATATGTTTGGTCCTCTCATGAAAAACAGGATTAGAGGATATATGTAGCGCAGCTTGATTATCACAGATGAGTGTCATGGGTTGTTTCTGTTCACAAAGATGAAGCTCCTGAATCAACTGCTTTAACCAGATCAACTCACAGGTAGTATTTGCCATTGCACGATACTCAGCTTCTGCACTAGATCGGGAAACAACAGGTTGTTTCTTGCTTTTCCATGAGATTAAGTTTCCTCCGAAGAAGACACAATAACCAGAAGTAGAGCGTCTGTCCGAGGGTGATCCTGCCCAATCGGTATCTGAGTAACCACAAATTTCTGTATTTCCCTGATCCGAATACAACAAACCTTTTCCTGGTGCTCCTTTGATGTATCGGAGGATCCTCACAGCAGCATCCCAATGTGAATCACAAGGGGAATCAAGGAACTGACTGGCCGTACTGACAGCGAAAGAAATATCTGGCCTAGTCACAGTAAGATAATTGAGCTTCCCAATTAGCCTCCGATAACGTCCAGGATCAGATAACGGCTCCCCCTGTCCGGGTAATAACTTGACATTAGGATCCATAGGTGTATCAACTGGTTTACTCCCCAACATACCAGTTTCTTCTAGGATATCCAAGGCATATTTCCTTTGACAGATAGAAATGCCCTGTCTTGATTGCGCCACCTCAATTCCCAAGAAGTAACGCAGCTTCCCAAGGTCCGTTGTTTGAAATGTACTAAACAAATGCTGTTTTAACTGACGAATTCCGTCTTGATCACTTCCGGTGAGAATGATGTCATCAACATAGACTAACAAATAGATACACTTATCAGGAGATGTAATCCTATAAAACACAGAATGATCAACTTTACTGCGGATTAAGCCAAACGCCTGAACAACAGAACTGAAACGACTGAACCATGCTCGAGGAGACTGCTTGAGACCATATAAGGATTTCCGAAGATGACACACCTTTCCAGACTCCCCCTGAGCAACAAAACCAGGTGATTGCTCCATGTAAACTTCTTCTTGTAAATCACCATGAAGAAAGGCATTTTTGATGTCAAGTTGAAGGAGTGGCCAGTGACGAACAACAGCAAGGGCAAGAAAGAGGCGGACTGACGCCATCTTAGCGACCGGAGAAAATGTATCGCAATAATCAAGGCCAAAGATTTGAGTAAAACCCTTGGCAACTAAACGTGCCTTGAGACGATCAATATGGCCATCAGGTCCAACTTTCACAGTAAAAACCCAGCGACAACCAACTATAGACTTCTCTGGAGGAGCAGAAACAAGGTCCCAAGTGCCATTGGAATGAAGTGCAGTCATCTCATCAAGCATTGCTTGGCGCCACCCTGGATGGGAAAGTGCTTCACCTGTGGTCTTAGGAATAGAAATAGAAGAAAGACTAGAAACAAAGGTGAAATGAGGTGAAGAAAGACGGTCATAACTCAAAAAGGTATAAAGAGGATAAGGGTTACGAGTAGTACGTGTACCTTTTCTTTGAGCAATGGGAAGAGTCTCTGATGAAGGATCCGGAGGGGAAGAAGCAACAGCAGTGGGCGATGAGTCAGCAAGAGTCGAGTCGACAGGAGGCACAGTTTTGCGACGCTGATAGGTGAGAAGTGGACGGTCCTCAGGTATAGAAGCAATAGGTTGCTCATCTGGAATAGAAGCACCTGTAGCTGGCAAAGACAAGTCAAGAAAAGGGACAGGAAGTACATGATCAACCTGTGACATCTGAGATGGGATAGAATTAAAGGGTTGTTGATCAAGAAAAGTGACATCAGCGGAAACTAAGTAACGCTTAAGGTCGGGAGAATAACAACGATAACCCTTTTGAAGACGAGAATAACCAAGAAAGATACACTGAAAGGCTTTGGATGTTAACTTATCCTTACCAGGAGTGAGATCATGAACAAAACAAGTACAACCAAAGACATGTGGAGTTAGAGGATAAAGAGGAACATCTGGAAGCAATAGATTATGAGGAATGTCATTGTGGAGCATAGATGAAGGCATGCGATTGATGAGAAAACAAGAGATGAGTACAGCATCTGCCCAGAAGTGAAGAGGAACCTGCATATGAATAAGAAGGGTACGAGCAGTTTCAATGAGATGTCTGTTTTTACGTTCAGCCACCCCATTTTGTTGTGGAGTGTGAGGACAAGTAGTTTGATGTAAAGTACCTTGTGTGGCCAAGAATTTAGAAAAATCAATAGAAACATATTCCTTAGCATTATCACTACGTAGAATACGAATAGAAACACCAAATTGAGTATGGATCTCAGTAGAAAACTTTTTATAAATGGAAAATAACTCAGAACGATTTTTCATTAAATAGGTCCAAGTGCAACGGGAAAAATCATCAATAAAGGTAACGAAATACCGAAAACCTAAGACAGACAAGGTACGACTTGGACCCCAGATATCTGAATGAACAAGAGAGAAAGGGGCATCAGCTCGTTTATTGACTCGACTGGCAAAAGAGGAGCGTGTATGCTTCCCTTGTTGACATGACACACAATCTAAAGACTGAAGACCGGACAAAAGAGGAACCATTTTCTGCAACTTTGAAAGACTTGGATGACCAAGGCGACTGTGGATAAGTTGTGGAGATTCTGTGAGAGAGCATGCTACTGAAGGACGAGGCACATCCAGATAATAAAGCCCCCGTGACTCACGACCCACTCCAATCATTTTCCCCGTACCCGGATCCTGCACAGAAACAGAATGGTTAGAGAAAGTAATGGTGCAAGTGAGGGAGTGGATCAACTTACTAATAGAAATTAAGTTATAAGGGATGCCAGGAATGTAATAGACAGATGTCAGGGCCAAGGTAGAGGTCGGACGAGCTTGTCCAATCCCACAAACTGGGGCTTTGGTTCCATCCGCAAGGGTAAAATACGGTAAATGATCAGAATAAGTAAGAGATGTAAAGAGTTCCTTATTACCACAGAGATGATCGGTAGCACCGGAGTCAAATATCCAAGTGCCAAGTGATGTAGAATGAGAAACACAAGCAACGGGATTACCAGTATAAGTCTGAGACTGAGGAGAAGCCTTCTTGAGAGGGGTTTGGAGTGCTGCACAGTCCGAACCTGAACCAAATGATGCTTTGTCTGACTGAGCTATATTTGCAACAATAGAAGGAGAGTTAACCTCCGAGAGATCAGGAGATACTGCTGCCATTTAAAGATAAAATATAAAAGCCGTAAACGAAGGCAAACGATATCCAATCAAGAAGAACCACGCGTCTAAGGTCAGACCCACAGAGAAACAATCACAGATCCAGAAAGGGGAGGAGAAGGCGAGCTTCTCTGTCCAAGACCGGCCGGAAAAAGTCGCCGGAATAGTGCTCACGCGCCGGCAGAAGGTGGCGCGTGAAGCCCACGCGCAGTGAAGACAGGTGGCGCGTGACGGCGCGTGGGAGATGCGTTGCTGACCGGACCACCACAGACCTGGTCGCCGAGAAGAAAGGGTCCTGATCGCGTGAAGTTTGGTCGGAAAAGTCGCCGGAAAAAGTCTCCGGTTGCCTGAACAGTGATTCTGACGGCGGGCGGTGGTTCCGGTGGCCGTCGGAGGTGCTGACGCGTTTGGAAAAATCACTCAGAGGCTGTTTACAGCCCTAGAAGACTTGCCGGAAGGACGCACGGCAAGAAAGATGACTCCTAAGCAGTGGGCTTAGGTTTTTAAAGCAAAAAACAAGGTTTCTGAGTGGAAGCGAGGGTTCCTAGAACGAAAAAGCTCTGATACCAAGATAAATGTAAAAGAATACGTTGTGTATTGATCTGTGTCAAGGAGTTACAATATATAGAGACCCTAATGGGCTTAAGTGTAAGGCCCAAACCTAATCCAAACCTAATCCTAATACAGTCAGAATACAGTCAGACTATTTACGGATAAGACAGAATCCAATCATATCTAATCAAATCTAATCATATCATATCTAACATTCTAACAGAACCAACCAAAACAACTGATATTTTTCAGAGAGAACATAAAATCAATTTATTAGTTGGACCAATCAAATATTGACTGAAACTATGATTCAGTATGGTTGGTTTTGATGGTTATGTGGGTTATACTCATCCCTATTAAAAATGAAAAGATAACAATAGGACCAAACTAAGATGCAAAGCATTACACTCATCTGAGATTTTTTGGTTGAAGAAGAGTAAAGGATTATTAAATGACAAGCCTACAATCTTCAAATAGCTTGTATGATGCTAATTTAAGAATATGTGAGACACTTGTTTCAAGGTTGTGGTATTATGTATAGTTTAAGCTGATATGAAGCCAACTGAAATTGTCTTTTGCAGTGTAACAAAGTTTATTGAGTGTGAGATTCAGAGAATTATAGAATTAGATGATTTGGTTGTCATTTCTATTTTGATTTTGATAAAAGAGGGTAGATATTGTGATTTTATATGGCTTGGGAAAAAGAAATTATCAAAAAAAAGAAAAATCAGGAATTGATATCCATATTTTGGGCTCTTGCCTTTGAACCGTTATATTTTGTTTCAAAGTTAACCTTAACAAGTTAAATTCATTTTTTAATTACAGTTATGTTAATTATTTTATCTTCTTCCAACCTGAAGGTAAATTATTTCTTGTAGTTGTGAACTAAATCCATTCCTATTGTCTTGTTTTAAAATATTTTAAACTCATGCTCATTTCAAACATGTTTTCTTTGTCCATTGTTGCTCTGAACTTTGAAATCTTGAGTTTTGGTACTGATATATTTCTAAAAATTGATTGTTTATTTTGGAAAGGAAAGATGAAGTTATATTCTGTTTTTGGATGTTTAGTAATGTATTGCATTATTTTGTAGCATTCTTACGGCAGAGTTTATTCGAGCTTCGTTACACGATGCTCAAGAAACAGATGTAATAATTTTATCCAAAGCTAAAGCAAGGGCTTCCCTTCCCATGAATGGAAAGGATGATGAAGTAAGATTGCATCTTCAATTACTTTTATCTTTAACACTTTTCTGTAGTTTTGTTTCTTTTGTTTCCTATGAATCTTGTGCTGGAAATCTTTCAAATCTTTACATTATGTTTTAGAGTGGGAACTGTCTCCTACTGGGGTTTCTTCATTCAAGTGTAGTCAACATATTGCAAAACGTGCTACTTTTTATAGTCACTGGGCCAATAGGCTCTAGGTTTAACATTTCATTATGGAGTTCAAGTATATATTGAACTTCACAAAAGAAAAAATTGTATATTCATATTTGTAATTGCATGGAACTTCAAGTTGTAACCTTCATTAACATTTCCCACCCAATGCATTGTTGTTGTTTTTTAAGTAGATACTGTCTTTATCTCTTTATTTTTCTACAGAAGAGGTTTAATATCATTAAAAAGGAGAGATGTACATTTGGGATGAGTACAAGAAAAGTCCACCTGAAAAGGGACAAATAAGGCAATAAAATTTCTCAAAAACGCAAAAAACTGTGCAATCTCTTTGCACATCAATAATTGAAATTTCCTTGAAAACAACCATGAGCACAGCACCACGTAGAAGCCATAAAATCATTTCTATCGTGTGACAAATGCAAGGGAAAACAGACACCCTGGAAAATACAAACATTTCTCTACTACCATATATGCTACAGGACTGTATAAACAGCACACTGCCATGATATCGTAGGCTCCTAATTGTTATACTCGCTAAAGCATATCATAGCCTCTTCTCTTCTTCCTTGATAAAATTTCTTATTCTATAAAAAAAAAATCTCCAAGATGAAAGGACACATCCTGTGTTGATCAAGATCCCCAAACAGAATATTTCATCAAAGCAGCCACTTTTTAGTTTAGAAACAAATGGGCTACGCTTTCTGATTAAACCTGTGCATAACACATGTCAGGTGAAAAGCTGTGTATGCCTGTATGGTATATGAATCTGTAGCATTTCATTATTTTTATTAATCCTATTAAGTACTTCTATCCCAATGAAAAATCTAAGCTTAGAGGAGTGATGGGAGTTCCAAATGGGTTTGTCAGGGATGAACTTGTGATGTGGAGATTGATTGTTTGATTTGGAATCTTTGAATCTGAGAAAAATATTTGTAGGAGAACACACAAGAAGATTCCGAAGTCGATATTCTTCTATTTCTGTTGGAATGCAGATAATTAGTAGAATCAAGTAATATTAGCAGGGTAAATGAAGCTCTTGTTGATACTTGATGGCTTAATTTTTACATGCTGTGCAATTCTTTAATTGAGTACTCTGTTTTGGCATTTAGTCCGAGGTTAGAGCTGCTCAAAATCTCACAACATAAAGTTGTGTGATTTGTGGTTAACTTGTGTTCTTTACCTTGATGTTATTTTTGATTCCATATGTGTGTGTTTTAATAATATTATGTGTAAAGATATTTTGAAGTTTTGAGGATGCGATTTGTGATCTAACCTATGTCTGATTCATAACCAGGTAAAGTTGGAGGAAGAAGAAACCACTAATTTCAAAGATAGTCTTCTTCCTACTGTTATTGGATTGCTTAGAACAGTGAGTAATAATCTGTATTTGCTTTTCAGAAAATTATTGTTTATGTTAGTTAATTTCCTATATTATGTTCTGGTAATTTGTGTATTTTGATTGGTGAAGAATTTTTCATAAGATCAGTGCAGTGAGCTTTTTCCTATTGTATTTTTGAGGATTCAATGTCCCTTCTCCCTTCATCTTGATTGGTAAACACTTGGTATTTGGTAATACATAGAAGAGGAACATTAGCAGCATCAAATATCAACATCACCTTTATTCCATACCTGTTGATTGAGTCAGCAAAAATAACAAAACTTTAACTATCTAACTAACTATAGTGATAGTAATTTGGTGAGGTGCAACTCACAATAACAACAACAAAATACATCACATACATGTAAAATACAAAACATTTTACATGCTTTCACTAATATGCCCCCCACAAACTCATGAGTCGTGGATGGACAATGAGTCCACAACTTTGAGTTTGGACTTAAGTTCTGCAAATCTAGGAGAGTAAGGGTGTCTGCTAGCTCATTTGAAGCAAGAACATAATACATAAGCAGCTCCTTGGATAGAACCCGTTCCTTGACAAAGATGATGTTCAACTCCATTTGTTTGATTCTTGCATGCAGAACTGGGTTATGTGAGAGAGTCACATTACTTAAATTGTCACAAAATATCCAAGGAGTAGTGAAAGGCACGTGAGGCTCACGTAAAACAAAACTTCTGCAAAAGTAAGAGCCAGGTTCCTACACTTGACTTCAGTGCTTGACCTTGCCAGCAAGGTTTGTTTCTTGCACCACCAAGAAACCAAGTTTGGTTTGAGAAATAAGCATGCCCCTAAGGTTGGGCGACGGACTGTCGACAGTCATTTGGGTCACTACCCAATTAGCATCACAGAATTTTGTAAGATGTAGAGGTCAATGAGGATTGGCAGTATGCAACATCAAACCAAAATAAACAATCCTTGAAAGGTATCTGAAAATATGTTTCACTACATTCCAGCGTTCAAGTAGAGGCTGTGGCATGAATTGGTACAGCTTGTTCCCTGCAAAGCTGATTTCAGGCCTAGTAGTGGTTGCATATTGCAGTCCTTCCACAATGGATCAATAATGCTGTGGGTTATCATAATAGTAGGAGCCAAGTCTGGTCAGTTTACACCTAGTTGTTATTGGAGAGGCAATGCTCTTTGCATCTGCCATATTGGCCGGAGATAGAAGACCACAAAAATATTTAGACTGAGACAGAATCAAAGCACTCGATGTTCGTTTCTTTACTTCCACACCCGAAAAGTAGTTAAGGTCCCTTAGATCTTTGAGTGCAAACTTGGAGTGGAGTGTAATGACAAGGATATTAATGAAACAACTGTCATTACCTGTCAAAATGATATCATCTACATACGCTAGGATGTAGATGCACTTTTTCCCATCACGCAGTATAATGAGAGAAGAATTACAACTGCTAGCCAGAAATCCTAGGAGAAGCATTGACTGTTGAGCTTGTCAAACAAGGCATTGGGAGCATGTTTAAGGCTTATAAAGTTTTATGCAATCTGCACACTAAGGTCTTGTCAAAGGACTTAAACCCAGGGGGTTGTTACATGTACATCTCCTCAACCAAGTCATCATTGAAAAAACATTATTAATGTTCAATTGCCTCAAATGTAAGCTAAAAGTAAGGGCAAGAGTAAGCATAATTCACATTGTTACTAGCCGAACCACTCGTGAGAAGGCTTTGTTGTAATGAAAACCTTCTTGTTGATGGAATCCTTTAGCTACCAATCAGGCTTTATATTTATTGACAATACCTTTCAAATTTTCCTTTACCTTGAAAACCCACTTGCACCCTATTGCTTTCGTGGGAGGAGGGAGAGAAAACAGAGACCAAGTATGAGTAGTTTGTAATGCATTATTTTTTGTTTTCATTGCATCTAGCCACTGGGTAGAGAGGCCAAGGCTTGCTTGACAATAGTTGGCTCTAAGTGAGTAACAAGAGCATGTGATCTTGCAAGGGTTTTATATCTTGTGAATTTGTGATGGACTGAGTGGGTGAAGGAGGGCTGAGGGAGGATGATGGCTGATATCCAGAACAGAAAAGGAAGTGGCAGAAGAGGATTGAGAAGAATATGGAGAGTGAGCCTGGCTGACAGGTGAAGAGGAAGAAGAGGAACCATGATCATGATGAGAAGGAGATGAAGGTGAAGACCACTGCAGTAGACTCAAAAGCGGAGTTATCATAGGTGCAATTGAATCCAAAGGGTGAGGAGAGGGAGACTCAGATAGTGCTAATGGAGAATTGTTAGATTTTTAGAATTTTTTTTTGAGTTTGTTGCAGCATTAGCTTCCTGGTCCACATTTGTTGCATTGGAAGGTAGATGTGTAGTGGTTGTGGATATAGGAGGACAAGTGTTTGGTAAATAAGGAAAGAAATAGGATTGATTGCCTGACTTGGATGATCCTTTGTATTAGGGTGAGAATGATAGGGAAATTTAAGCTCATTAAAGAGGACATCTTTAGAAATATACACTCTACCTTTAGGGTTTAAGCAAATATAGCCTTTATGATTGGTGACAGAGCTAAGGAAAGTACATTTTCGGGAATGAAACTCAAGTTTATGATTGTTGTAGGGAATGGATAAATGAGAAGCATGCATAGTCGAAGATTTTTAAGGACCGATAATCTGAAGTTAAGTTGAGAAGCTTAGTATATGGTATTTGAAAATTTAAGGCTGCTATTGGTAATATATCAACGAGGTAAATTGATGATATAAATGCATAATCCCAGAATTTCATGGGTAGAGAAGCATGAGCTAGCAAGGTTAATCCAATTTCAACAATGTGCCTGTGCTTTCTTTTAACTTCTCCATTTTGGTGATGGGTGCGAGGACAAGCTATTCTATGTTTTATTCCATGGAGGAGATATTGTGTGAAAGGTCTAAACTCCTTTCCCCAGTTTGTTTGTATTGATTTAATTGGGGCTTGGAATTGAGTGGTGATTAATGAACGAAAATATTTAAATGTTTGAGTTGCATTTGATTTCTCTTTTAAAGGATATATCCAAGCAAACCTTGTGTTTGCATCTACAAAAAAGATGTAATATAAATTTCCCAGGGTTGATTTAATTCAAAGGGTGTGTTATAAGCTGTTAAGGATGGGAAGAGGGCAATCCGTTGGCCTTTCCCATGCAACAAGCTGAACAAAAAGTATTGATCGCTTTATTATCAATTGGTATATTACAAGAGGATAGCGCAGATTTAAGACTTTCTTTGTGTGGATGTCCTAAAAAACGTTGAGATATATAAAACCATTAATGTAGCTTCACCTAACAGCTTAAGCTTTTGGGTTGAATTGGTTCTTTACATGGTATCAGAGCCTCGGTGTACCGGGTTCGAACCTCACCGCCCCCCACTTTCTTTCAAGTGGAATTTCTTTGTTCGCACAGGTAGGTGGGCCTGTGCATTGTCCACCCTTCAAGCCCAGTGGGCTCTCGTGTGAGGGGGCGTGTTGAGATATATAAAACCATTAATGTAGCTTCACCTAACAACTTAAGCTTTTGGGTTGAATTGGTTCTTTACAAAAACAATGCCACATTGAGTATGTAGAATATGAAACATTACATGACTTGGAATTACCTATACAATTCTGAACATTATTACAAAGTAAATGAGCAGAATTTGGAGATTTAGTAGATGAAGAAGAATTATGGGAAGATGAGGTTGTGGCACGATTAAAATTTTAATGAAGCTGGATGCCATCAAACTTATACAGTCCACTTGAATCAAGGGCTCCTCTGAGTAGGACTTTGAGAGCCTTGCCATTTTGCAAAGCAATCAATGAGACGAAACTCAAAATATACATAGTTATCCTTTGCAAATTTGCTCACACTAACAAAATTTTTCATAACAGAAGGGACTAACAACAAGTTCTTAAGATATTGTTATGTGTGAGTGTCAAAAGGTGAAATAAATTTAGATGAACTGATAACAGTTACTGTCAAACCTTTGTCAATCCCAATCATTGCTTGTTTTTCCCCAGACAATTGCTGACTGTGCATGAGATTGAGTGGGGTTGCTGTAACATAATGTGTGGCGCCTGAGTCAGGGTACCATTCTAGTGAATGCCATGTCCATACTTGTATAATTGGCAATAGATGTTTGCTCATACCTTCATGACCCCAACTTCTGTTAGTACGACCTCCCATGCGTCCCTTGCCTTTGTTAGAGGAGGTTGAATGATTGAATCCTCCATAACCAAGTTGCAGTTGCTCTGTTCTTGACTCCCCAAAACAACGGCAAACAAAGTATCACCATTACTAGTATTATTCTTCTTCATATGGTCGTGTGCGTGTTGAGCAACATTCACAGTTGCTGATTCGAAAAGCAACACCTCACTTTGCTTTGATAACATCTACTCACAAGTAATCAATGTGATACTTAGATCCTCAATTGAGTATGGGTTCTCATGACCAAGCACTATGGTGATGAATGTATACTTAGACGACAATCCTTCAAGAATCAGTTCAATTCGCTCCTCATCATTCACTGGGTTTTTAATCACTATGAGCAAATCGCATAATCCTTTTATATGAGGGAGATACTCCTTGATAGCCTTTGTTCCTTTCTTGATTGAGCTCAATTCAGATCTTATCTGCCTTGCTCTAAATTTCATCATCCCGTGGAACCGTTTATGTATTTTATCCCAGCCTTCATGTGCTTGCTTCATGCCCAAAATTTCATTGACAATTGACTCTGAGTTTATTGAGTGTAGCCACGACCGTAACATGGAATCCTGTGTTATCCATTCTACACATGCTGGATAGTGCACGCCATTGACGCGATCTTCATCGGATTTGAATTGCAGTGGAATTTTAGGGTTTAGCAGGAAGTGAAGCATCTGGTATGATTTGATGATAGATTCTATGACCTGATTCTAGTACAAGTAATTATCCTCGGTCAACTTCATCGTCACTTGATGATTGAAGACTAAGGGGGGTTTATTTTAAATTTTTTGGTTTCCCTTTTTGGCCCCTATAGCTGCTTGTGTAGACTCCTTTGTTGGATGTGTTTCATCTCCCTTGGTATTTCTTTGTATAGGGGATTATGCATGTTAAATGATTTAACATTCTTTATTGACATGAGATTATTGTTGCTTTTATCAGAAACATCACTTTAAATTATTGACACTACCTTTTCAAATTACTACTTTAATATCTTGACAATTAGATTCTTATATCCCTGTGAACAGAATAATTGGTTCGATTTTTTGGATTCAGCTTCATTTGGTCAAATGATTCCCTTATTTTCAGGCTAAACTTCCCTCTGTTCTGAGAATCTATCGAGATACACTGACTGCTGATATGAAGACTGCTATTAAGACTGCTGTTGCCGAGTTGCTTCCTGTTCTTGCTGCTCGAGGTTCGGAGTCAGAGTTCTTTTCAGGAGACAGAGCAGTAGATGCAGATGGTGAGAGTTTCTTTAGCATAATTGATTATGTTTGACTATCAGAAGATAGACTGTTAACGTATTTTTCTACAATTGTGGTTTTATGTGCACTGTTCTACTTTCTAATGGCAAATAGTGACTCAGGTGGAGGTGCATCACTTGCTAGCAAGTTAAGGAGCCTATCCTCGGATTGCTTTGTACATCTTCTGAGTGCTATTTTCATGATAGTACAGGTAATTTGTACTTGACTGTCCTCCAATAATTTGCATGAGAAGCATTACCAGTACCCACCTCCACGGGAAGCAAAGACCTAAATGTAGCATGTCCATGTGCAAAAACTTCCATAAAAAAATGAGAAGCTTGGATTGCTGTACTGATATCCCAACCATTTTGTTGTAATGACATCTTGGAAGTGATAGTTATGTTGATCTAAAACCTTGATAATTGTTTAGTTTTTTATATTTGTGATGAATATTGTTGAGATATATAGTCCCACATTGGTTATATGGGCAACTAATGTGGAGTTTATAAGACCTTGGGCACTCCCACCCTTTGAGCTAGCTTTTGGGGTGGTGTATCCCAAGGTTCTTTACATGGTATCAGAGCCTCTTGTCCCGGGTTCAAACCTCGCCGCCCCCCAATTTCTTTCCGGTGGAATTTCTTTCTTCGCACAGGTAGGTGGGCCTGTGCATTGTCCACTCTTCAAGCCCAATGGGCTCTCGTGTGAAGGGGCGTGTTGAGATATATTGTCCCACATTGGTTATATGGGCAACTAATGTGGAGTTTATAAGACCTTAGGCACTCCCACCCTTTGAACTAGCTTTTGGGGTGGTGTATCCCAAGGTTATTTACAAATATGAAATCTTGAGTTGATATCAACAAATATGTCACCTGTACATGAATTTGTAAAGAACCTTGGGATACACCACCCCAAAAGCTAGCTAAAAGGGTGGGAGTGCCCAAGACCTTATAAACTCCACATTAGTTGCACATACAACCAATGTGAGACTTTATATCTCAACACGCCCCCTCACACGAGAGCCCATTGGGCTTGAAGGGTGGACAATGCACAGGCCCACCTACCTGTGCGAACAAAGAAATTCACTTGAAAGAAAGTGGGGGGCGGCGAGGATCGAACCCAGGACACGAGGCTCTGATACCATGTAAAGAACCTTGGGATACACCACCCGAAAAGCTAGCTCAAAGGGTGGGAGTGCCCAAGACCTTATAAACTCCACATTAGTTGCACATACAACCAATGTGGGACTTTATATCTCAACAGAATTGAAATACTCTCTTGTTTGGTAATTCTTGTCTTTTTCTTGACGATCTAGTGGTGTTTGCTTAATTCTATAATATTTTCAATCACTTGTAAAATGGTTGTTAGTCCAAAAGACAATTTAGTCATGGTGTGGTTTGCATCTATGAGTGAGTACTGCATGCTCAGGGCTTAAAATTTTCTATAGTTTACTATTTTTAATAGCATTAGATCGTATTGCATGTAGTATACTTTCTGCGACATAGATTTTGTATCTTTGGTGCATTTCACCCTCTTCGTTAATACCTATGCCCCAAGAAAAGAATAATCAATTGTTATGACAGCTTATTACTGGGATGTTACAAATTAAATATTTTTTCCATGGGAGACAGTGTTGGCTGCATTTCATGTCCAAGCTCTGGTATTATCTGTTAAGGGTTACATATAGGTTAATGGGATTTAGTTATACATTGGCTTGTAACTTCATCAGTTGTTTTAAGAGTGATGTAATAAGATTTTTTTCCTATTAGTGATTGCAGGCACATTTAGTGCGGGCTGCTGAAGTGAAGAAGGCCAATGAATGGATTTTGAGCAACTGTGATGGTCATTATGCTGCTGATTCAGTTGCTGCTGCAATTGCTCATGGTGCTGCAGCTGCTGAAATATCCCACGAAAGTGAGATTCATGGTACTACAATTTTGCCATATTCGCCGCAAAGAAATGCTGCCAAGAGTCCTTCTTTTCAGGGAAAAGCAATTGATGCTGTGAGCTCCTCAAACATGTCAAAAAATTTCAGGTTAAATCTAGGCTCTTAGTTCTGAATTCTGATAGTCTTGTTTGAGAAAGCTTTTTCCAGATTCTATTTGGTGTTTAGATTGAGAAAAGTAATTTGCGATTGGAGCTGATTTTTTCTTGTAGTTATCCTTTTTTGGTCCTAGTAAAATGATAACTGCTATTGTGAAATTCAGGAGCACCTGGACTTAATAATTCAGTATGAAATAGAAATATTAAGTTGAGAGAAATTGTTGTCTGGTGCCACCAGGGTTGGATTTGTAATTTTTAACTATGTTTAAATGAGCAGATTCATGTAGTGATGATTTCCTAGAATTTGTAAACATTTGTATTGTGATGAGATTTTTCAAAACAATTTATTCTCCCCCTTTTGAAGTTTGATTGTTCATTGAATGGTGACAAAGGCGATATAATGAAGCTTTGAGAGGAAGGGGGCTATACCTTTCAAGATTTCATTTTTGTGGGAATTCTTTTTAATCATTTGAACACTATTTATTACTCAAGAACCAATTATCCTTGTAAAGAATTAATTTAACCCAAAAGTTTAAGCTAATGGTTAAGGCCACATTAATGGTTCTATATGATACTTCTCTAATATGCCCCCTCACACAAGAGCCAATTAGAGTTGAAGGGTGGATAATGCAAAAATCCACCTACCTATACTAAGAAACTCCACAATATTTTATTATTTATTAATAAAATGGGAGCGGTGAGGATCGAATTTGTGACCATTTGATCATAGAGGATATGATATTATGTAAAGAACTGTTAGAGAAATATAAAACCATTAGTGTAGTCTCATCCAACAGCTTAAACATTTAGGTTAAAATAATTTTTTACATGATATCAGAGCCAACATAACTATGTGGGCATGAGTTCGATCCTCACCGCCTCCATTCTATTAATAAAATATAATTAAATATTGTGGAGTTTGTTAGCATAGATAGGCTAGGCAGGATGCATTATCAACCCTTCAAGTCTAATAGGCTCTCTTGTGGGGGGAGCTTGCTAGATAAATATAAAAACATTAATGTAGCCTCATTCAATAGTTTAAGCTTTTGGGTTGAATTGGTTCTTTAGGTGAATACCACATTAACAGTTCTATATTATACTTCTCTAATAATTCTAAAAGCTTAAGCTATTAGGTGAAGGTACATGAATAGTTTTGTATCTGTAACAGTATAGAATTATCTTTTCATTGGAGAATATCTGCTACAAAATACAAAATGAAGAAAAAAATGAGGTAGAATGAAAAAAAAAAGTTCTTGAAAATGAATAATAACCTGTACTTTTTTCCCTTTAAGATTTGAGTGGTAATCACTTGTGGCTGTGGCACATGCATCAGTTGGAGAATCTCTTTCACAGTTGGTGTAAAACTATCCATAGTTTGCTTGTTAAAGTTTTCCTTTCCATTTTCAGTTTCTTATGAAAGATTGTAGCTGACACTTTTTAAAGGTTTACTTCCTTTATTTGCTTGTGAAAGTTGTGAAGCAGGCATTATAAATTTATTGCTACATTTAATATGGAGTAATTTGTTTTACTATGCAAGAACAATAACTTTCATCCCCTTAACAATGTTAAATCAGTATGCATGCTGATGCTACCCTCAAATGTTTTATCTTATCTTATTTTGTCAGTCAGTAGTCATTTTGCTGTCTTAGAGCAAGTTACTTTTGTGTTTTACTTGCTGTCCAATTTGTTTGATGTTCTCAAAGAATCTGGTCCTAAACAGAGCTGATGTATTGCGAGAAAACGCAGAAGCTGTCTTTGCAGCATGTGATGCTGCTCATGGAAGATGGGCAAAGCTTCTTGGGGTCCGCGCTGTTCTCCATCCTAGGTTGAAATTGCAGGAGTTTCTAACCATATACAACATCACCCAGGAGTTTATTACTGCTACGGAAAAAGTACATATTTTCATGTTGATTTAAAGCTAACATTACAAATTATGTGGTTTTTATTCAATTATTCATTTCCCATGTTTAAATTAACAGATCGGTGGAAGATTGGGATACAGCATCCGTGGGACACTGCAGTCACAGGCCAAGGCTTTTGTTGATTTTCAGCATGAATCTCGGGTAAGTTTGGTGGTCCTTTATGTGGTATTTATCATAAAATTGTTGTACAGCTGTGTTAATAGCTTTTGCTTTGCTTTTAGATGGCAAAAATTAAGGCAGTGCTTGACCAGGAAACATGGGTGGAGATAGATGTTCCTGATGAATTTCAATCCATTATCAATTTGCTTTTTTCATCTGATGCATTGACTTCTGAGAATCTTAATGGCTCTGAGGATGATATTTCAACGAGATACAATGATGCGGTGACTAACAATAATGTTCTGCCGATGGCAGACACTGGACAGCCAAATGCTGAACAGCAAGTTGAGCAAAATAATTCCATTGAAGCATCTATGAATAGTGTGATGGAACCAAATATAGCTCACAATAAGATTTCAACCGCACAGAGTAACAGTACTGAGAAAGACCATAAAAAATCTGTGTCTCAGTCTCTTTTCTACAAAGGTGTAGGTTATCACATGGTTAACTGGTTAGTTATCTGAATTCAATTTCATTCTTTTTATTTTTTTCATTATGTGCACCTTCTGTTCCTTCTGTTTTCCATTTTCACATCTCTCTCTCTCTCTCTCTCTCTCTCTCTCTCTAAGACTCTCTGTGAATAAGATTATGTATGTAAACTTGATTATTTTATAACAATATTATAATATAATGCATGTTGTTAGTCATAATTTGAAGTTGCCAATTTGTTAGGTAAACTTGTCTTTTTATGATTTTTTTTTAATGATCTTTTTGTTTTGGCTGTCAGCTTGTGAATGCTTTTAAAGTACCTTGATTTGTCTTGTTTGCTTCTAGTGGCATAATTTTGCTGAAGATGTTGTCAGAGTACATTGATATGAACAACCTTTTGCCAACACTATCTTCCGAAGTTGTTCACCGTGTAGTAGAGATCTTGAAGTTTTTCAACACTAGAACATGTCAGCTTGTGCTTGGGGCTGGTGCTATGCAGGTACTACTATTATTGTTCTCTGAACTGTTGGTGCCTTTTGATGTATAAACTATGTTCATGTGTGCATATATACCTATATGTGGCTGTTAGACCAGTGTCAATTGATCGTCATTCTATATATAGGGCAAGGTCTTTTTTAATGGTTTCACCAAAAGTTTTTAGGTCTTTATCTACCTCTTTCAATTCAATTCAACTATCTTACATTTGATTAACATTTTTCACTGAAGCCCCTATTGTATATGGCCGTTCATTCACCTCAACATTCTCATTTCCGATATACTTTTTTTTTGCTGTTGTTGGCACTTCACCGCCCAACATTCAGTGCCATAGAACACCACTGGTATTTTAGCCAAGTCTTATGTTGGGTTCTATTTGCGAGGTATGGGACTTGGAGTCCCACACTGGTTGTATGGGTAACTAATGTGGGGGTTTATAAAGCCTTGGGAACTCCTACCCTTTGAGTTGGCTATTGGGGTGGTGCATCCCAAGGTCTCATCAAATGGTATCAGTGCATCTGTAAAGAACCTTGGGATATACCACCCCAAAAGCTAGCTCAAAGGGTGGGAGTGTCCAAAGCCTTATAAACTCCACATTGGTTGCTCATACAACCAATGTGAGACTATATATCTCAACACGCCCCCTCACACGAGAGCTTATTGGGCTTGAAGAATGGAAGATGCAACAGGCCCAGCCTACCTGTGCTAAGAAAGTCTACAAGAGAAAGTGGGGGGCCGCGAGACTCTGATACCATGTAAAGAACCTTGGGATACACCACCCCAAAAGCTAGCTCAAGGGGTGGGAGTGTCCAAGACCTTATAAACTCCACATTAGTTGCACATACAACCAATGTAGGACTATATATCTCAACACGCCCCCTCACACGAGAGCCCTTTGGGCTTGAAGCGTGGACAATGCAACAGGCCTAACCTACCCGTGCTAAGAAACTCCACAAGAGAAAGTGGGAGATGGCGAGGCTCTGATACCATTTAAAGAACCTTGGGATACACCACCCCAAAACCTTGTTGAGATATATAAAACCATTAATGTAGCCTCACCTAACACTTTAAGGTTTTGGGTTGAATTGGTTCTTTACATGGTATCAGAGCCTCCGTGTACCAGGTTCGTTCCTCACCGCCCCCCACTTTCTTTCAAGTGGAATTTCTTTGTTCGCACAGGTAGGTGGGCCTGTGCATTGTCCACTCTTCAAGCCCAGTGGGCTCTCGTGTGAAGGGACGTGTTGAGATATATAAAACCATTAATGTAGCCTCACCCAACAACTTAAGCTTTTGGGTTGAATTGGTTCTTTACAGCATCCATCACGTGGAGTTGTGCGTGGGGGCACGCACTAGGGAAGCGTGGTGGAATGTTGGGTTCTATTTGCAAGGTATGGGACTTGGAGTCCCACACTGGTTGTATGGGCAACTAATTTGGGTTTATAAGGTCTTGGGCACTCCCACCCATTGAGCTAACTTTTGGGATGGTGCATCCCAAGGTCTCATCAAATTGATAAGTATATCATGTATATGGTTATAAAACTATAAGTTGTTAAGACACCTGAATACAACAACACCTACGGTGTCAGCTACATGAATTCTGGTGCCATTGTATTAGATCCAGTATCAAAGATTCATGAAGCTTGATGTAACTCAAATCCTTCTCAATAGCCTTACACCATGTTCGGTCAAACAGTTACGAGGGGTCGTGGTTGTTGTCTTATCTGCCCAAACCAGCTTAAATGAACTTCATTGTTTCCTCAGTACTACTATTATCCATCTTGGTATATCCAATCATCCATTGCAACATCCTCATGTTTATGACCTTCATTTGTTCATTGTGTGCAAGCACATAATTGCATCAGGATTCCCCCTCTCAATCTGGCTGGAGCTAGCTAAAATTTGATGAACTTGTTGTTAAGAATTGAATTTATGTATTAATTGAGTCTAGCTTAGGGAGCCTATACTTGAATCTTTCAGTTTGTGTACTCTCCTGCACAGTGGAAAAACCACAAGATAATGCTGGATTCTAAAACTTTTGGGTTTCTCATTTTGGATATTATTTCATCTAAGTGAATGCTTTTTTTCCCAACTTTGCTGAACTATCTTCAATCCCATTTCAATTTACTTAAAGCTCTGTCATTTTTGTGGCTTCTAATTTTTCTTTAGTTGTGTGTAGGTGTCTGGTTTGAAGTCCATCACTTCTAAACACCTGGCGTTGGCAAGCCAAGTCATTAGTTTTATACATGCTATCATTCCCGGTACAATTGTACACACCTAAATAAAGTTTTTAATGTAAATTTATTGGTTTGACATGAGCTTATGACATTGTTTTTACGTGGTCTTAAACTATAACAACGTTTTTCATTTCCGGTATAAGAAATTCGGCAGATTCTTTTTCTCAAAGTACCAGAGACTAGAAAAGCTTTACTGCTTTTAGAGATTGATCGAGTTGCTCAGGTACGTACTTTTTTCTTATTAAACTTTTCTGCTTTTCATAGAGGGGGATTTATTATATGTTGCATTTTTGAACAAGTTTCATTGTTGGAAGTATGATATTTCTTTCTTTTTGCTGCTTATTAATGATGAAAAATCATGGGTAATCAATTCCTCATCTAGGATGAAAGTTTACTTATAGTTGAATATGTGGATAGAAAATTCCATGTAATCACCATTCCACTGATTCCCTATTTTTTTCTTTTGGATAGAAAAAGAAATATTGATAATGAGGAAGGGAAAAAGGTAGAGGATATGACTTGCATGGGAAATTATATTTGTAACAACTTGTTTGAGTTTTTAATATGAAGGTCAATAGTTCATATTTGCAGCCTTTGTCCAAATATTGGGTTTAACAAAATGTTTAGGAACAGGAACAAGGATAAGCAAGGAACCCTGAGTGTGTTACTCTTATATCATCTTGATGGTTTCTTTTCCAAAACTTAATTCCACTGATTTCTTCTTGTTTAAAGTTCTTAGTTTTTGTCATCAATGGAAGTCAACCCTGTCTGCCGTCAATTGTGATGACTTTTAGTTGTTTCCTTAATTAATCCCTTTGCTTCCCTTACCAACTTTATGTTCTTCTGCTTCTTGCTATCATTAACCTAACACATGCCCCATCTATAAGGTTTCTCTGTTAAGATGTCTGATATTCATCTTTCTAATTCACAACTGCATGCGCTGGAGGCATTTTCCTTGAATGTCCAAACATATTTATGAAACTGTAGTTGTTTAGATTTTGCCATAGGTGGTGATCTCTTGGGCTTCCTATTCTTTTAGTTTCTCTTGTTTTTGAGGATACCAGTTGTTTCTCCGTGGTTTTATTTCTCTTTCTTTTTCCTCCAATAAAATTTGTCTTATTTTATATTACAGAATCATAAAAAAAATTCGGTTTCATTTGGTTTGCAAGAAAACTTTCAAGAATGTTTTATTTTATAACATTGATTTATCATTGTATTTTTCCATTCCAGGATTATAAAGTCCACAGAGATGAAATACATACTAAATTAGTTCAGATAATGCGAGAAAGATTACTAGTCCATTTACGGGGTTTGCCTCAAATTGTTGAGAGTTGGAATAGACCTGAGGATGCTGACCCCCAGCCTAGTCAATTTGCTCGTTCCCTTACGAAGGTAAATAATTATGTAAATGATTAGTGTGCTTACTCAGTGTTTGATATCCTTTCTCTCTTTATCATCATATGGCTTTTAGTTACTCTTCACACCTGAAGCTTTTTCATATTTTATGTGTGTGTGTAATTATGTAAATGATTAGTGTGCTTACTCAGTGTTTGATATCCTTTCTCTCTTTATCATCATATGGCTTTTAGTTACTCTTCACACCTGAAGCTTTTTCATTTTGTGTGTGTTATTTTTCTTTAACTTGTTCTTGCTTTTATATGGGTCAATCGACTATTGAACCTAACTAGTTTGGGATAAAAATGATGTTGATGTTGATAGTTTCTGTCAGTTACCTCTTGTTCTTGTTATTTGCAACTCTATTTTCCTTGTTAGTTGTCACAGATTATTAATGTCTACTTGCATATCTGCATGTGGTTGTAAATCAGTTCTCTGTTAAATTATTTGGATGTCTTATGGGTCTTGCTGTCAGAAATACCTGCTCTTAGTGATGGACTAGGCTCTTGAGAAACACTCCTTCCTCAGGCTTCACTTTTGGAAGGTGATATTATTAGTTTTTATTACTTAAATAAAAGACCAACTCTATCTATTTGGTGGAATCCCAATATTGGTTTTATTTATACAACAGGCCATAAAACCAGTAGTGCTGAATGGCTTTGGAGAAAATGTAAATGAGAACACAAAAAGACCCTGACTATTTTTTATGGAGTGTACAGGTAAAAGGAAAACAATGTGATAGAGTCCCAAACACAGATTACAGTAATTTAACAGAAATAGGAAGTAAATTGTATTCAGCTCTCTAATCAACAAAGTCAGAGGAAAATATATGAGGAAATTACAAAGAAATTTGCAGAAACAGAAAGACAAGATACCATGCTTCCGAGAGGCATGTCTCTTCTTACTCTTTTTTAATTCTTCTACTTGGTTTCTTTTCCCACTCCCCTTTCCTTCCAATTCCCTTTTATCCCTCTCTTGCCACTATCAGCGGTTGTAACCTCTCTCCTCTCCAAGCGCAAGTCACACTTGGCTTGTCTAGGGGTCTAATCCTCTACTTCCCTTCTTATAATTCACCCTATTAATGGGCGGTTTCCTAACAGAATGATATAATGATCATTATGTTCTTGTGTTGATATCTTTTAAATATGGGATGACTTTGTCTTATAAATAAATAATAGACCCCTCAGGATTGTTGAAGGTTGGCCATCAACATAGGTATTCTCCTCAAATGAACTTGGACTCTCAATTATTCTGGAGTTTTTCTCTGAAGCTTTTATTTGGTGTACGATTCAAACTCCCCTATTCTTAGAATTTAGCTCTCACTGCTGCATTTTGGAAGTTGAAGGCGCCCCTTGATGTGAAAGCTTTTATTTTGACTATGATGGCACTTTATCTTATTATCACAAATTATTTGGTAAGTTGTGGAGGCCGCATAAGTGTTTTATGGTTTGGGGGTGTGGAGACAAAAACCAGTCATTTTTACTTGGTTGTTTTGCAGTATATGCTCTTCTGGTACTTATTGCGAATCATTTGGTTTGCTTAGAAATTTGGGGTTATCCTTTCTGTAGGTTGAGGGCGAATCTTGGAGCAGCGGTAAGGTTGCTTCTTATTACCAGAAGGTCACGGTTTCGAATATGGAAAACAGCCTCTTTGCAAACATGCAAAGATAAGGCTGGGTATAATTGACCCTTACCTTTACCCTCAGAAGTTGGGGAATCTTGTGTAGTGGGATTTTCCTTTTATCCTTTCTGTAGGTTATTAAAGTGTTGGGAGTTGAGTTTTTGCGAAAATATGCTGATACGAATCTTGGGAGAATCTCACCCCAAAAGCAAGCTCGTAAGGTAGGAGAGTCCAAAGTTCATATAAACCCCACACTAGAACCTTATGTTTCTGATGTGGGACTTATACCTCGCAATAGGATCGTAACATTCGACCACTATTCGCAGACCTGTTTCCTCTGCGGGCTGGCTTTGCGCTAGTCTTTTACTAGCCCTGAGCGAACACTGCAATGCCAGTGTCACCAACTGCGCCGTATTGCAACTGGGAGACATAGTGGAAGTCTCTGATACCAATTGATACAAACCTTGGTAGAACCTCATCCCAAAAGCTAGCTCCTAAGGTAGGAGAGCCCGAAGTCTGTATAAACCTCACACCTGAACTTTATATTTCTGATGTGGGACTCAAGTCCCATACCTTACAATATGATCATAGCACGTGCATTGTTATGTTGGAGTGTGGTGTATTTGGCTTGAGCGTAATGCAGCAGATTTTAATAAAATTTCTTAGTTGTAGAAATAGTCACTCTATTATCTTCTTTGCGGGTTTTCGTCTATTAGATTTGTAGAGGGATAGAATAGATGAACAAAAAAGTGATGCAAAATAATATCTATGATACTCTTTTTGATGGTTGTGCCGCTCAAGCTTAAAGGAAATTTTTACCAAAGCCACAAGACCAGCACTGCTTTATGGTACTGAATGTTGGGCGGAAAGGTGAAAACAAGAGCATAAGTTGGGTGTTGCAAAGATGAGAATGTTGTGATGGATGAATGTACGTACAAAAATAGATAAGATCAGCAATGAATGTATTAGAGAAAGTAGGAATAGTACCTATTGAGGAAAAGATAGTAGTAGAATCATGCCTAAGATGGTTTATTCATGTCAGAAGAAAACCAATAGAAACGCTAGTAAGAAGAGTTAATCAAATGGAGGATACCCCAATAATCCTGAGAAAAAAAAACTCTCAAGTGAAATTATGAAAAAGGACTTAGATCTAAATGACATATTTGAAGACTCGGTGTTTGACAAAACAGAAAGGTGTTGTTCGATCTACATAACCAAACCCACCTAGTGGGATGAGGCTTTTTGTTGTTGTTTGTTGTACTCTTTCTGATGGTTACATGGAGGGTCTAATGGGTTGTGCAGTTGGGTTTTTGTTAATTCCTTATTGCAGTTGAAGTCTCTGTTATTCTGTTTGAATTTCAAGCTAGGTACTGGTTGGTGCTTGGAATTGGGCTTAAATTGCACCTTGGAATTGACATTGGGCCTAGCAATTCTAAATTTCATTTTTGGTGTTCCTTTTTAGAATTACAATTCTCATTCCTCATAACAATCTCAAGAAATTAAAACAAAAAAAAACTAAATAAAGCTGGCCCTTCTTAATTCTTAATTTAAACCCAAAAAAATCTAATTCCCAGAAGCAAGTATTAAGATGTGCTTTACAGCCCACACATCTGATGTAAGAAGTCTGCCGTCTTACATGTGATACTGACGACAATCACTTCTGATGTCAGTGCCAGCACCACCATTGCCATACTGACACCACTGTATCCACTATCATTGTTGTCAATGGCATATGGCAGCCAATGCGAGCAAAATCCCTGAAGCCACCGCGTTACCATGGCAATTGGAGATGGATCTGGTGTGGTGAACCCTTTGTTAAAGTAGGGCAAGCATTTTTTTCCCAAAAGAGTGAATCATGTGAATGGTGAAATAACAATGTGTCCCTGAAACTTACACGAGGTCTCAAACCCATCCGTAAAAGATTAACTATTTCCTCAATTGTAAAAAATGGTTTACTAGAATAGTTGGGTCCTTAAAAACAAAATTCTTTTTAAGTAAATAAATAAATTGGGTTCAAAGTACACGTGACTGTAAAGTCCTAGGAAAAAATTATGATGTTGCAGCTGAATGGTGTAATATTTTGCTGATGTAGCAGTCAAGTAATGTTAATGACTTGACATTTCTGTGTAGTTATGAATCCAATTGAAAAGTAAGAAGTTCTTGCAGATCCAAATGAAACCATTTTTTCATAGACCCATATGAATCATGTAATTTCCAAGACCGAGAGTGCAGTTTAGCCAAATTGTTAACAGTTAAAACACGCATAATAAATAGTAGATAAATTACTTGATTCGTTTGGGTGCTCATTGAATTTAATGAGGCTTAAGTGAGTGACAGTTTTAATAAGAATGGAGCAATAAGAGTCCTTTGACTTTTGTTGCCAGTTCATAATGGAAGTTAGAAAACAGAGATTATATGAAGATAAAGAGGATGATGATTACATGAGCGAGGATTTGAGCCAATCTGTGATGATTTCAGGTCTGGAATCCTTCAATGGATCTACATGGGCTGAAAGCCACAGGTCCATTGTTGAGGGTGAAAATTGGTGTGTTGGAGTGTTTTGTTCTCTACCATGTTGCTTTTTCTTAATCAGAGTTCGCTGAGGTAAGGACATAAATGCTCTTAAAAATCACAAGCCCTTTGGTTGGAGATGAGGAAGGGAAAAGTGAGTACACGGGAGTCACACATAACACTTTTTGGAGTCTGCCATCTTAATTGGCGGCAGCCATTGATAACAGTGAATTGCTGTACCCTACACCACTACCCCATGCTCATCATAACTGCTTCAAGTTTTTTTTTTTTTTTTTTTTTTTATGTTTTATTTTGAAGGGAATCTGAATATAAATGTACTTGGGTTCTGACATTTGCTATTTATGTGTAAACCTTTTGTTCCATTTTGCTTGAATTTTAAAATTCGCTGATTGCATGTGTGAGTGAGTCTGCTGAACTTAAAGACATTTAGAAAGATAAATATGGAATATATAGCTAACTTGATGTGTTTCTAGGTTCTATGTTGATATATTTGATGGGGTGGGTGGTTTGAAATTGAGTGTCATTTTTTTGCTCTACTCGCATACACCTCCCGTCCCCCAAGGCAATCTTATAATTGGAACTTATTTTGTTATTTTGTTGTTAGGAAGTTGGATACCTTCAACGTGTTCTTTCTCGAACTTTAAATGAAGACGACGTTCAAGCAATTTTCAGGTAAGAATATCACAAATCTTCATGTTTTCTGTATTCTTATATTCTGATGAAAGAGTATAATCAAGAGTACCAAACAGAGTGCGTGGTAATTGTTTTTTATGCTGGTGTAACACTCCCAAATTTCTAATAATTTCTATAAATATTTTTGTAATAAAGAAATTTCCAAAATTTACATTTAATTATTTATTAAAACTATAAATATTGCAGAAGCTAATCTAAAATTATTTGGGAAAATATTACAGCTGCAGCTGTATAGGGACAAGTGCAAGGCTAACTTTATTGCATTCATAAATATTAAAATAAAATCAGAGACTGACATTTATACATAAAATTTAGGGCTAGCTATAAATTCTGAATCGTTATCCTCACTGCCTACTGCTAGCCTCATCCTTTGTAACATGTTCACTGAAAATCTGTTCCCCAAATGATCATTGCAGCCATACAAACACAAATACAAACAGTTAGCAAAGCTGGTAATCCAAATCCAACCCACAAAAGATATAACTCATAATATTCACATCAAGTATCAATTCATTATTAATCATATTAATCTTTATTTAGTCCATTTAGTGGGAAGAGAATCGTGGTAGACCTGGGAAACCCTGTTGCCAGCCCACGTATAATCAAAATTGGCCATATCAAAATGTCAAATCCTAGTATGTACACCTTTTCCCAAAGTTGCTACTAGTACCCCGAGAAACCCTGTTGCCAGATACCACTTTGGGAAGAACGGAAAACATCATTGTCACATCATGTAATATCGAAGGTAAAAAGCCCAAAGGTTGTGTTCATCACTTTTAGGAGGTACCATCCCAAAAGCTATCTTCCCACAATCATTCATTACAATTACACAAAATCTATTCAATCTTATAACAATTATCATAATTGAAAAATTTCCTCAAATTAATTTAATCAAGAGTATAATTTTAATTGTCCAAGAATATCGAAATTTTAATTATCCAATCATAGCATAATTTTTCAAATCATAATCCAAATATTCAATATTTAGTAAGGTCCAAATCATATCATCATTCAAACATCTATTAAAATGAAACTCAAATCCAATCATATCAATATTCATAATTCAATCATATCAATCAAATAATCCAATTATTTCTATTTATTATCATTAAAGGGTTAAAATTTAATTTAAATAATTATATTTAATTCAATTATTAATACCAAAATAATTATATAATTTATCCTATTAATTTCTAAAGTTTAAAAAAATTTAATTTAAATACCCTAAGGATTACATATTTCAAATGAAACCATCCTAAAATTTTCTAGGGATTAGGATTACCTGGTCTCCGTGTTTAATTGACTTCTAGAAGAAAAAACAATTTGGGAAGAGAAGCATGGTTGGTAGCCAAAGAAGAATAATAATAAAATAAAAATTTGAAATAAGAAGAAAGAGAATAAGAGGAGAAGATGAGAAGAGGAGAGAAGAAATGGAGAGGATTGGAAATGATTTGGTTTAGTTAGGTTAGACCTCTATTTATAGATTAGGTTTTGGGCTCAAGATATGGGCTTTGTAGAATTTATTTCCTTTTATTGGCTAGGATGTCTTTGACTCATTGATGATTCATCTTATCTAATCAAATAAGATATGTTGACTTATGATTGACTCATTCTCGTCCATCATATAAAGTCTGCTGACTCATCCTAATCCTATACATTTAATGTTATAATATGCGTATGGATAATTACTATTGGTTATCACAATTTATCATTAACATAATTTGATTATTACCAAAATAATTATTCACATTACTAATCAAATAATAACATTATATGCATAGGGATAATTACTATTATTATGTTTTATTACTATTGGTTATCATAGTTTATCATCAACATAATTTAATTATTACTAAAATAATTATTCATATTACTAATCAAATAATAACATTAAATGCATAAATTACTATATACACAACAATATAGTATTATAATAACATTAAATATATAAATTATTAGATATGACCAATCAATTAATAATTCAAATAATTAGTATCACAATTTATCATTAGTCCTAATACTACTAATTTATAAATTATTATTATTATTAATTGATTATTATTGGGGTAGGATATACTTACCACCAAAAAAGTTTACCACTCTTATAACCAATTTAATCACCGTTGGTTTTCGTCAATCTAACGATTATAATTTATTAGAAATTAATAAGTGTGACAAAATAAATGTTATTAATTTTCAATAAATTATAACCATTAGATTGACGGAAATCAATGGTGATTAAATTGGTTGTAAGAGTGGTAAACATTTTTTGTGGTAAGTGGATCCATTCCCATTATTATTATACATTACTATTTTTCCTGGGGTGTTACAGCTGGGATGATTATTGTTAGAATATATTAGATGTGATTAGATATGATTAGATGTGATTAAATATGATTAGATGTGATTAGATATGGTTATCACAATTTTGTATTAGGTCTGGGCCTTTCACTTAAGCCCATTAGGGTCTCTATATATTGTAACTCTCTGAATTAGATCAATACACAACATATTATTTTATATTCAAGTTGGTATCAAAGCTCTTTGTTCTGGGAATTTTTCGCTTCCGCTAAAACCCTAAACCCACTGCTTAGGCGTTCTCGCCTTCCTCTAACGTCGTGCGTCCCTCCGGCTTAGTTCTACACTGTTCACACGGTTTTTTTTTTAAAAAAAAAAAATTACTGTTCATCTCGTCCGTACAGTCCATACAGTTTACTGTTCACCGTCCGTACAGCTTACTGTTCATTGTTGGTACAGGCTGCGCTATTCACCGTCCGTACAATTTCACTGTCCACTGCGTCCGCACCGTTACTGTTCACCGTCCGTAAAAAAAAAAAAAAAAAATTCTTCTATTTCAGATTTGGTCATCTCCTATATAATATTATGGCAGCAAATGATTCTGATCATTCGGAGGTCAATTCTCAACCTCCTCCTGTCAAAAATTCTCCCAATATCATCTCTACCAATGTTGGGTCCATTACCTCTTCAAAATTGAAGGGTTCTGTTAATTACAAGAATTGGGCCACCTCTCTTGCTGCGAATATAGCTCAGCAGTCAGACAATGCATCATTTGGTTCAGTTTCTCTCTCACTTGCAGACTATGCTGCACTCCAAACTCTTCTCAAGAAGGCTTCTCCTCAGTCTCAGCCCTTCGCTCCATATACTGGTAATCCCGTTGCTTGTGTTTCTCAATCTACATCACTTGCACTTCGAAAATCCTTATATGGTCTCAAGCAGTCTCCTCGAGCATGGTTCAGTAGCTTCAGTTCTGCTGTTCAGGCGTTTGGCTTAATTCGCAGTAAAGCTGACCATTCTGTATTTTATAGGATTACATCTCCTGACAAGTGCATCTATTTGTTAGTCTATGTTGACGACATCATTCTCACCGGAAGTGATCAAGAAGGAATTCGTCAGTTAAAACAGCATTTATTCAGTGCATTTCAAACAAAGGACCTTGGGAAGCTGCGTTACTTCTTAGGAATTGAGGTGGCGCAATCTAGACAGGGCATTTCTATTTGTCAAAGGAAGTATGCCTTGGATATCTTAGAAGAAACTGGTATGTTGGGGAGTAAACCAGTTGATACACCCATGGATCCTAATGTCAAGTTATTGCCCGGACAGGGGGAGCCGTTGTCTGATCCTGGACGTTATCGGAGGCTAATTGGGAAGCTCAATTATCTTATTGTGACTAGGCCAGATATTTCTTTTGCTGTTAGTACGGCTAGTCAGTTCCTTGATTCCCCTTGTGATTCACATTGGGATGCTGCTGTGAGGATCCTCCGATACATCAAAGGAGCACCAAGAAAAGGTTTGTTGTATTCGGATCAGGGAAATACAAAAATTTGTGGTTATTCAGATGCTGATTGGGCAGGATCACCCTCGGACAGGCGCTCTACTTTCGGTTATTGTGTCTTCTTTGGAGGAAACTTAATTTCGTGGAAGAGCAAGAAACAACCTGTTGTTGCTCGATCTAGTGCAGAAGCTGAGTATCGTGCAATGGCAAATACTACCTGTGAGTTAATCTGGTTAAAACAGTTGATTCAGGAGCTTCATCGTTGTGAACAGAAACAACCCATGACACTCATCTGTGATAATCAAGCTGCACTACATATATCCTCTAATCCTGTATTTCATGAGAGGACCAAACATATAGAGATTGATTGTCACTTCATTCGAGAAAAGATTCAGTCAGGAGAAATCAAGACAGCGTTTGTCAACTCTTCTGATCAACTAGCGGATGTCTTCACTAAAGCTCTTAGAGGTCCTCAGGTTGAATACATTTGTAACAAGCTTGGTGCTCACAATATATACGCACCAGCTTGAGGGGGAGTGTTAGAATATATTAGATGTGATTAGATATGATTAGATGTGATTAGATATTGTTAGAATATTAGATATGATATGATTAGATATGATTGGATTCTGTTTTATTCGTAAATATTCTGACTGTATTAGGATTAGGTTTGGGCCTTACACTGTATTAGGATTAGGTTTGGGCCTTACACTTAAGCCCATTAGGGTCTCTATATTTGTAACTCCCTGACACAGATTAATACACAACGTATTCTTTTACATTTAACTTGGTACCAGAGCTATTTCGTTCTGGGAACCCTCGCTTCCGCTTAGAATCTTGTTCTTCGCTTTAAAACCTAAGCCCACTGCTTAGGAGTCATCTTTTCTTTGTCGTGCGTCCTTCCGGCAAGACATCAAGGACTGTAAGTCCTCTCCAGGCATCTTCTGCACGTGTCCACATCCCCAAACAGTCACCGGAGCCACCATCAGCCACCGTTCAGGCTGCCGGAGTACTTTTCTGGCGATTTTTCAGTCTGGAATGAACGCGAACAGCACCCTCTCCTCCCGGCGACCTGCTCTGTGGAAGTCCGGCCACCATCGGAGTTGTCACGCGCTCTCACGCGCCTCCAGTCTTCTCTGCGCGTGGGCTTCACGCGCCACCTTCTGCCGGCGCGTGAGCACTATTC